GGGGTCACGACCCACAGGTTGAGAACCGCTGGTTTACAGGAACAGAAAGCCCCATTTTTCTCCCATGGAGTGGCTGGTGGTTTCAAATTGCTGACTTTATGGTTAGCAGTCCAGCTCCTAACCACTATGCCACTAGGGCTCCTGAGGAACCCTGTCAAGGAGACTCATGTGAATGTGGACAAAGCAGGCCACAGTATTTCAACTTTTTTCCTGTAGGCCTATTTAAAATCTGAACTAGACCAAGATTATGAGTGTGAACAAGAAAACATTTGCATTAACAGTTTGGACAGAGCTGTCAGAAATTGCTTAGGCAAAGCCAAAGAGGGAAAGAGAGTAGTCAGCCTTCTGTCAGGCTGGCTTGACTACGCATCTGACTTTTTCATGCCTCTGTGTGCTGATGGAAGGAACTCTAGTGGTGAAGTGCATCAAGCATTGGGCCACTAACTGCAAGGTCCTCGGGGGAAAGATGAATCTGTCTGCTCCCATAAAGACTGACAGTCTCCAAAACCCTGTGGAGCAATTCTCCTCTGTCCTCTAGAGCAGTGGGTGGACTCTGATTCAATACTTAACCTCACACAGCATTTCCTAGTACAAAGACTAGCCGAAGCCTAACTTGGGACACTGTGGGTATTGCATGAATTCATGAGTTTGAGGTTTCACAGTTGGTATGAACTGTGCCTGAATCCCACAGACCCCGTCAAGTGGGATTAGGCACACCTAAAATTGTCAAAACCAGTTGAAGTCATACTGTAAACTAGTTCAGGGACTTCAGACTGGACCTATTGAACTGCGGGCCCATTCCCACATATAGCAGCGTGCATTATGCATCATGTAATTCTTATAGGTGCCATTTAGACTGCAAGCTGAAGGATGTCCCCTGGGGTCAAAATAAGGGTCTCTATTCATATAACCAAATATGCATACATAGATCAGTGAAACGGGCCCCACTCCTGCCAGGATTTTCAGAATAGTAGTTCCCGCTCCACTGCCAGGGTTTGTCCTTTTCCTCAAGGGGCCTGGTCTTTACTAGGCGTCCTTTGTCTTTCAGATCCCCTAACAGTCCCTTGCAAAAGGTACTGAGGAAAAAAAAAAAAAAGGTACTGAGGACAAGAAGCAGAGACAAGAAGTCAGTGAGCCAGGAGGATGCTACAAAAGGTTCATGGAAAAATGGAATTAAAAGGGAATTAAAATTTCCCACAAACTTTCTGGAGCCTCTGGTATAATGTAGATACAGCTTGTTCTTAGTCCCTTGAGCAGGGGTCCTCACACTTTTTAAACAGGGGGCCAATTCACTGTCCCTCAGACCGTGGGAGGGCTGGACTATAGTTTAAAAAAAAAACTATGAACAAATTCCTATGCACACTGCGCAAACCTTATTTTGAAGTAAAAAAACAAAACGGGCAAAAACACCTGGTGGGCTGGATAAATGTCCTTGGTGGGCCGCATGTGGCCCGCGGGCCGTAGTTTGAGGACCCCTGCTCTTGAGCCTCGCCTCTCTGCCTGCCCTTGCCTCCTTCCTCAATAGTCCATCCCCTGTCTCATATAAACCCAAGTTACTTACAGGGAGGTCTTCGTCCAGCATGGATGCACACTTGTTGACTGCCATTCTAGCTCTTCAAGCTGCAAAGCAGAAGGTCCTAGGTTCATCCGCAAGCCTGCTGGCTTGAGGTCCCCAAAGGCTCTCCAGGCCACCAACTGGGCCCAGGCTGCCTAAGATCTCAAGTTCCCCAAATAGGAGATGGAGGTTAAAGAGTGACTGTCACAGACAAGAAGCCCCTAGGGATGAGTTGCTCCACCACCCACTGGTCAAGGCCAGATGTTTCCTGTAAGGGTTCAGGGTGAGAAATGAAGGATAAGCAGCAAGAGAGAAAAGGCTTTAGATGAAGTCTTTAAAAACAAAACAAAACTCCATCCAAAACCCCTGCCATCAAGTTGATTCCGAGGCATAGCGGCCCTATAGGTAAAAAGTGGGCTGTCCCTGTGGGTTTCGAAGGCTGTCGTTACAGGACTAGAACCCCTCATCTTTCTCCTGCCTGAACCTGGAACAGTAAGCAGCCAAATGGGTAACCAACCATGCCACCAGGCCTCCTTCAAGCTACAAACCACCAAACCAAACTCAACGGCTATCCAGTCAATTCTGACGCACAGCAACTCCGCAGGACAGAGTAGAACTGCCCCTGTGGGCTTCTGAAACGTTTCAGTCTTCACAGGCGGAGATAGGCTTATGGGTCCAAGTTCCTCAACTTCCACGCCATCATATCTGCAGGCCGTCCCTCTCCGTTCAGTCGGGTGAAAAGGTGGCTGTATGCTGTCAATTCCGACCCGGCGTAACCCTCGAGGGCAGAGTGGAACTGCCCCACAGGGCGTCATGGGTTCTACATCGTCACCAGAGCAGAGGGCCAGGTTTTTCTTC